CCTGTACGGGGGATTCTATGGTAGTCTGGAGGCCGGTGCTTCCTGTAGCTGGATGTTCTGGGAAGGCTGACTGGAGGAGGTCAGACCTGAGCTAGGTCTGGATGAAAAGATGAAGAAATAAGCTGAGAATTGAGGATACTTCAGGTGCAGGACATGAGGTGAGCAGGGATGGATGGGGGGCAGAGCCCTGTCCTGCTTTTGTTGTTGTTGTATTAAAAATTTTTTTAATTACATTTTACTTGTGCGTGCGTGTGTGTGTGTGTGTGTGTGTGTGTGTGTGTGTGTGTGTGTGTGTGTGTGTGCGTGTGTGTGTGTATGTAGTATGTCTGGAGGTCAGAGGCTAATTTGTGGGAGTCAATTCTCTCCTTCTGCCATGTGTGCCGTCTGGTTTGGCGGCAAGCCCCCTTGCATGCTAAGCTAGCTTGCAGGCCCCTGCCCTATTAGAGGTTTGCAGAGACAGGTGCTGGGCTTCCTTCCTTTCCCATCTCATTTTCTGACCTGCTCTCTCATTGACATCAATCACTGTAGTTAAGGCCAGCCCTTTCTAAGAGTGGAGGGCAGTGGGTTTTTTCTGATGAGCCTTGGTGTTTTTCTTTGGTATCTTTAAATTTCATTCATCATTATTATTGTGTGTGTGTGTGTGTGTGTGTGTGTGTGTGTGTGTGATGTATGCATGTGAATGCATGAATATACATGTGCCATGGTGTTCATGTGAAGGTCAAGGATGACTTTCAGGAGTTAGTTCTTAACCATCTACCTTCTTGAAACAGTACAACCTCAGGGGAGCTAGGATTACAGATGTTCATCTGCACAACTGGCTTTTACATGTGTTCTGGGTATCAAAATTTGGTCAATAGGCTTGTATGATAGGGATTTTATCTGTGAAGCTATCTCCTCAGCCCTTGTCACTGATTTGTAGGTCAGCCTAGATTACAATAGAGAATGCCAGGCTAGCATGGGCTATAGAATAAGACTCTGTCTCCTCCTCCTCCTCCTCTTCCTCCTCCTTCTTTTTTTTTTCTCCTTTTGAGACAGGGTCTCCCTGCAGTTCAGGCTGGCCTGGAACTCAATATGTAGAACAGGCTGGCCTTGAATTCACAAAGATCCACCTGCTTTTACCTACTGAGTGCTGGGATTAAAGGCGTGCACCACCATGCCTGGCTGAGACTCTGTCTTAAACCAAACCAAACCAAACCAAATCAAACCAAACCAAACCAAACCAAACCAAACCAAACCAAAAAGATGTCATAGAATATTTAATGACAGAAATACCTTTGTGTGTATATATGTATGTATGTATGTATGTATGTATGTATGTATATGTGTGTATTTTTCAGTATTGAGGGTGGAATCCAGGGCCTTGTTTAGGCTAAACAAGTGTTCTGCAACAGATTTACATCCTTATACCCTCAGTGCTAAGCTCTTTTTTTTTTTTTGGTCTTTTTGAGACAGGGCCTCCCTGTAGCCCCAGCTAGCTTACAGCTCACTACATAGACCAGGCTGGCCTGGAACTCACAGAGATCTGCCTGCCTCTGGAGGAATGGGATCAAAGGCACCATGGCACATACCACCTGACCCAGCTTTTTTTGTTTTTAAAGACAGTCTCAATGTGTTACCTAGGCATACATTATCATGCCCAGTGCTAAACATTGTGTGTATGTGTATTTATTTGGTACTAGGGATTAAAGTTAGAACTTTGCATATTCTCTACCTTACAAGAACTCTACCACTGAGCTATATCCCCAGTCTTCTTGTTAATTTTTTTTTTGGGGGGGGTGTTTGAGGCAGGGTTTCACTGTGTAGCCCTGGCTAGCCTGAAACTCACTATGTAAAGCAGCCTGACCTCGAATTCATAGAGATCTGCCTGCCTCTGTCTCTCTCAAGTGTTGGGATTAAAGGCGTGCACCACCACATCCAGCTCTTGGTAATTTTCTTAAAAGATGGTCTCTATTTTATTTTATTTTATTTTATTTATTTTATTTTATTACATTGAGAAAGGGTCTCACTATATACTTAGAACTGGCTGGCCTAGAACTCATATGGAGTCACCTGCTTCTGCTTCCTTAGTGTTGGGGTTAAAGGTGTGCACCACCAGGCCAGGCTAAAGATGGTCTCTAAATTGCCAAGACTAGCCTTGAATTCACTCTGGCCTTGAACTTGTGATCTTCCCACCTTGGCCTTCTGAGAAGTTGGCCTTTGCCATCAGGGTCAGTAAACACTGACATTTTAAAGGGTTATTGTTGGTGGTGAAATTACAGGTGATTATTGTGTCCTTTTATGTTTCCTACAATACAAAAGAATATTTTCTTAATTTGAAAACTGTAATAAAATTTATCATATTACAAATCAACAGCCAACTATGGTGGCTCATGCCTGTAATCCCAGCATTCTAGCAGCTAAGCTAGGATGATTGGCATGAATTTGAGGCCAGCCTGAGCTATATGAATTTAAGACTAGTTAGGGCCACAAGGTGAGACTTTGTCTCAAACAAAAGAAAACAGTGCCTTCTCTCCCCTCCATAAAAACCCCAAAGCAATAATGAACAATTCATTGAGAAAATGGTTAGCATAGAACCTGCATCCTCTATAAAAGTGTTATTTCTCTAGTTACTTTTTCTCTTAGTGCTTCCCATGTTTCCAGTGCCCCAGGAGAGGTAGGGATCCCCAAGGTCTCCTCCCATTTTGAACTTTTATAGAATTCTGTACAGTTCTGTGGTCTGCCTCTTGGCCATGTGGAATCCAGCTTCATGGGGAGATTATAAAGCAGGAGAGGCAGGAGAAATAGTGATGGTTAGGTCTATATAGTGTGAACACCAAAGAAACACTTTCAGAGAGGAACAGTTTGCCACCCATATTTTCTGAAAACACACTAGTGCTGCACAGTCAATTTAGTCCCAAGGTGAAGTCTTGAATCCTTGGTTGTTGTTCATCTCTATTGTATTTATCTCTTCCTTCCTTCCTTCCTTCCTTCCTTCCTTCCTTCCTTCCTTCCTTCCTTCCTCTTCCCTCCCCCCTTTCTTTCTATTGTTTGTAAGACGCAGTCTTACGATGTGACTGACTGACCTAGAACTCTCCACAATCCTCCTGCCTCATCCTCCCAAGTGCTAGACTTATAGGCATGTGCTACCGTGCCCAATTCTTCTATAATAAGCTGAGATTTTGTTTTGAGACAGTGTGTCATTCTAGTCCAGGAAAAGCCTCAGTCTTCTGGCCTCAGCCTCCCAAGTCCTTGCATTATAAACACAAGTCACCAAATCTGACATTTTTTGGTTGGTTGGTTTTTTTTGTTTTTTTTTGAGACAGGATCTCACATAGCCCAGGCTGGTCTCAAACTCACTAGATAACCAAAGATGACTTCTGACCTCCTGCCTCCACTTCCCAAATTCTGGGATTACAGCACTAATTTATGCAGTGCTGGGGATTGGGCTTTGGGCTTTGGGCATGCTAGGCAAACTCTTTCAATTGAGCTACCTTTCAGCTTTTCTTTCTTTTTCTGTGTGTATATGGGTGTGTCTGTGTGAAGGTATACGCACGTGAGTGCATTTTTTTGGTGTTGTTGAGACAGGGTTTCATGGAGCCCAGGCTGGCCTGGAGGTAGCTGTGTAATGGAGCATGACCTTGAATTTCTGACCCTCTTGCCACCACTTCCCCAGTCCCGGGATTACAGCACTGTGCCACCACACCCAGGCTCTGCAAAGCTTTTAATATACTGATCTTCACCAGAGCTACACAAGACCTTGAGGTGCTGAGAGGGTGCCTGCTTTTAATCCCAGCAATTGGGGGGCAGATGTAGGTAGATCTTTGAGATTGAGGCAAACTTCATCTACATAGAGTTCTATGTCCAACTGGGGCTACAGGGAGACCCTGTCTCAAAAAATAGACCTGAGAAACTACATTAAAAAAATTTTTTTAGTGCATGTGTGGTTGGAGGGGGTTGCTGCAGTGTGGGTGTGAGGGCCAGAGAGCAATTTGTGGGAGTCAGTTTTCTACTTCCACCATGTGGATCTGGGAGATCAAACTCAGGATGTCAGGCTTGGCAGCAGGATCCTTTTGCCTGGTGAGCCCTCTGATGGGCTCAGAAACTGCATTTCTAGGCACTTCCCAGGCGATGCAGTGCTGGTCTGCAGAATTAGTTAAGTAGACAAGATTCTGGAGCAAGATGGCCAGCTTCCTGATACTAGCTCTGCATTAGACTAACAGTAAGATTGTTGCAATTACTGTACCTCAGTTTCATGATCTGTAAAGTGTAAGTCCTAACTCAGTGGATCCCTAGAACCCACTTAAAGGTGAAAGGGGCAAACTGACTCCACAAAGTTGTCCTCTGGCCTCCACACCCGCATCCCTGCACCTCTCTTTCTCTCTCTCTCTCTTTCTCTCTCTCTCTCTCTCTCACACACACACACACACACACACACACACACACACACACACAGAGAGACACAGACACAGACACACTTTCTGTTTTGAAATGGGGTCTTATGAAGTCCTGGAACTCTATATGTAGACCAGGCTGGCCTTGAAACTCCGCCTGCGTCTGCCTCCAAGGTCCTAGGATTAAATTCACGACACATTAGGGCTTGCAACAGTAATAATAATTAATAACAAATAATAATATAAATATTAAAAAGACCTAACAGCTTTGGTGAAAACTTCTAAGTTGCACACACGTACTTCAGAACGGCAGTCACTCTGAAAGCTATTACCACATTCCCTAGAGCTAGCTAGTGAGATCAATACAAGAATGAATGAATAACTTCGGGGACAAGTTCTTTCCTGGGTGGCTAGAGTCCTGGGAGGGCCCATTGATGGGGAAGGCACCCTCCCAGAAAGTTCTCTCCACTCCCGCTGCTCAGGAGGGCCCCGAGGGCCCGGAAGCCTGCGGGCCAGAGCCGGGCGGACCAATGGGGAGGCGGGGAGGGTGGTGACAACACCCGCCAGCCCTTTCCGTCGGCGGCGCGGAAAGCCCCGCCCCTTTGGAACGTTGCGACGTCCGAGCATTCCACGGTTGCTACATCGTCGCGAGGGGCGGGGCGCCTGTCAGGGAAGCGGCGCGCGCGGGTGGCGGGCGGGCTGGGGCTTCTCCGCACAGTGCCAGCGCCAGCACCAGACCCGCCCGTACCCCGCGCTCTCCCTCCCGCCCGGCGCCTCTCTTCTGACTCGCGAAGTCCGCGTTCCGGCTCTCGCCCGTGCGCTGTCCCAGTATGGAGTTGCTGTGTTGCGAGGGCACCCGTCATGCGCCCCGGGCCGGGCCCGACCCGCGGCTGCTGGGGGACCAGCGTGTCCTGCAGAGCTTGCTCCGCCTGGAAGAGCGCTACGTGCCCCGAGCCTCCTACTTCCAGTGCGTGCAGAAGGAGATCAAGCCGCACATGCGGAAGATGCTGGCATACTGGATGCTGGAGGTACGGCCGGGACGGGTCCCTCCCCCCCACCCCAACCGCCTCGTGGCGCTCCCTCACCCCTCATCCCTCCGGCTCTGGACGAATCCAGATTGCCCTGTCGGGACCTCAGGATCCCAACCACAGTCTGCAAGATGCTTTGGTGGCCCAGACTCCCGGGGCCTGCTCTTTCACCCAGGCACCCTAGCCAGCTGCCTCCGGACTCTTTCCCTTCCCCAGACCTGATCGGCTCCTTGTGTGACCGCCAGTCACTTGGCACCTTACTTAACTAAGCTTTACTTCGGGCCGGGAAAGCGGGCCAAGGGCCACCCTTTCCCCCCTACACACACTCCGGCTTTTCTCCGCGGTCTCCAGCTTCCTCCCCCGCCCGGTGTTCTCTGGAGAGCGCGCTTGGAAAACCCTGGGCTCGGCCACCCCCGCCCCAGAGCTGGTTCCTGTGTCTGTCGCGGGGTTCTGGCGGGGGAAGCTGGTGGGGGTGGCGCGCGCGCTGGGTTCCGGCCCACAGGGAAAGGAAAAGTGCGGGAGATCGCGGCTGGAGTCCCCTCCTTTCCCCTGGGGAGTGTGCAATGTGGGTGGTGGTAATGAGGGTAAGATCCCAATTTCTCTGTGTGACCCTTCCGTTCGCCGTGGGGGAGGGGAGCCTGGAATCCTTCGTGAGGAAGGGCTCCTCTGCTTTGCCGCCCCCCCCAGCTCCGGGGGGTGGGGAGGAGGCCATGCAGAGGAAGTGAGGGGGGGTCATCTTGGGGAGGGCGCATCCTCCTCCGTTATTGATCCTTGTCACTGTAAGTTTATCCCCTCTCCCGTTTTTGTCTTTTGGTGTTTTTTTTTTTTTTGGCCCCCCCCCCCCCACTCTTTCCCATGCTGCTGCGTGTTCCACTTGGTCCTTCCCTAGCAAATGACTCGTGCGCCATCCCTCAGGTGTGTGAGGAGCAGCGCTGCGAGGAGGATGTCTTCCCCCTGGCCATGAACTACCTGGATCGCTACCTGTCCTGCGTCCCCACGAGGAAGGCGCAGTTGCAGCTCCTCGGTACCGTCTGCCTTTTGCTGGCCTCCAAGCTGCGCGAGACCACGCCCCTAACTATCGAGAAGCTTTGCATCTACACGGACCAAGCGGTGGCTCCCTGGCAGTTGCGGGTGCGTGTGGACACCCCCGTCCCCCGACTCGCAACACAGTCTCTTATTATATACTAAACTTAAAAAAAAAAAAAAAAAACCAAACCAAAACCAAAACTCCACACCCCAAACCAAACCCCCTCCCCCCCCGCTTCCCCCTGGCCATGAACTACCTGGATCGCTACCTGTCCTGCGTCCCCACGAGGAAGGCGCAGTTGCAGCTCCTCGGTACCGTCTGCCTTTTGCTGGCCTCCAAGCTGCGCGAGACCACTCCCCTAACTATCGAGAAGCTTTGCATCTACACGGACCAAGCGGTGGCTCCCTGGCAGTTGCGGGTGCGTGTGGACACCCCCGTCCCCCGACTCGCAACACAGTCTCTTATTATATACTAAACTTAAAAAAAAAAAAAGGAAAGCCAAACTCAAACTCACACCTTCACCCTGCAACCAAACCTCCCTCCGCCCCGGGCTAGCAATTCGGAAAAGACCTAGGGTGGGACAAAGACCTGGCAGAGTGAAGAGATGGTGGGTCTTGAACTGCAGGCTTAAACTAAATGGAACCCCCTTACTCTGGCCGCAGGGTGGTGCCACTCCTTCCTCATCTTTCCCCCAGATAGCAACAAGTCCAGCTGCATGTCTATACACTAGTACTTGCCCCTGGGTTTACACAGCCACCGTGAGTGAGTTATTTATTGGCAGCGGCAGGGCATGCCTGCACACCCCCACCGGAGTGGAATGTGCTTCACGTGGGGGAGGGGGCTGCCTTGCATGAGTCTATCCCTGTGTGGACTTTGTGATGGAAAAGCCTCCCAGAGCTGATTAAAGCCAGGCCCTGATTGCTGTAAGGAAGTGCTGAGGTGTTTTCATCCCACCCGCTTACCCTTCTATTCCCAAACTTCTTAATCCTCTCTTCCTTGCCTGAAAAAGTCGAGCAGCTGCTAGGGGCCTGTGGAAGAGTCTCTCCTCTTGCCTCCAGAGGCCAGAGCTGAGACAGACAGGGAGCTGGGCAGCAGCTGCTTCCGATGTGATAATGATGCCCCGTCCTCTGGCCCTCCCACTCAGACCGAGGGCTTTCATAACCCTGTGGGAAGCTGCTGTCACTCCTGTGGTTTGGGAAGTGGCTCCTTGGGGCCTCTTGCTGGGAGCTTGGGCTGGGCTGAAGAGTCTGGGTTCTGCCCGGGAGGAGTCTAGGGAGGAGGTGGAGGAGCTGCTTGGATTTGGTAGGGGGCAATGGCATCATCTCCCAAGGGGTCTGGGAGAGAGTGGGTGAGCTGGCACCTCCCTCCACCTTGTTCTGTGGCGGGCCAAGCCTTCCCTGACCCTGAGAGGAGTCTCTGGGCCCCATCTCCCAGGGAGGAGGGCAGCAGGCAGGCTGATGTGATTGGCTGACTGGGAAGCTAGGGTACTGGGGCCCCTGACTGCTGTGAGTCGGGGAACTGGATTCCTCTTCCTGCCAAGCAGCTCTCACGGATGGGAGTCTGGGAGTCGGAGGCCAGAGTTGGGAATCTGGGAGGCCTCTGGGCTCTTTGTGATGAATCTAGTACTTAGTTTCCAGGACCAGGGAACAGATGTTTTCGGAGTGACTGGGGCTGGAAGGTAGAAGGAGACTTTGTGTGTGTGTGTGTGTGTGTGTGTGTGTGTGTGTGTGTGTGTGTGTGTGTGTGTGTGTGTGTGGGGAGTGGGGGGTGGGTCTGGGCGTGGGTGTGGGGGGTGT